AAACCTTTTTAGCCACTTTTTTTTCTCAAAGGGGCACTCCACTGTTTTATACAAGAAGATCAGGCTATTCATAAGCTTAGGGAAACCTCTGAAAATTTGTCTTTTCTAGCTCTGGAGGGAGTTTTGTTTAAAGGTTGAAAAAAATAACTCCAAAATGCTACCAGGACTTGCAGAAACTGCTTTATAAACTCAGAGCATGAAGTCTGAAGGACAGTGGTTTTTATTAGGCAGGAAGGGGTCTAACAAAAAGACTGTTATCAAGTTGTAGGGAAGTATAACATTCAGTATTTTTTAAGCTTACCTGGGCCAATTTTATGGAATTGCAGTACAAAATACTGGAGTGGCTACACCTTTAGCTACATGTCAGGTTTCAATGGTAGTGTGATTTAAAAAAATATATATATTTTTTTATTTTTTACATCTCAAGATGAGGGAACTAAAAATAGGAGTCTTGAAACACTGAAATTAGCTATTAATTGCCACAATTTCATATAGAAATAGAAATGCAAATATTGGAAAATGTGTTATATGACATGGAAATTGATCTTAATGCAATGAAAATGTGGCAAATCTGTCATTTTACTTACAACTTTCTATTGTCCCCCATTTCAGCAAGCGCTTCCAACTCAAACATTTTTAGTTCATAAAAAATTTAATCTTTGAACCACGGCATATCAGTAGATGCAAGGTGAAATTCCCAATAAATAATAACATCAGTAACTTTTCCACAGTCCCCTCCTGGTCTACAAAGAACATGACAGGAAGTCTGAGTGGTCACCCATTACAAATACACCATGTTTGTATATTTTCAAGTGCTGAAATGTGTTTTAAAAATATAACATTTATGTAAGTTTATAGTTATATATATCAAAAAAAATCTACATTTGTATGGAATTATAGAAGAAATTCAAATAGCTTTTCCTTTGTGACTTGGGATTACAGTCTGGGGAAATGTTAAAGCCACAGTTTGGCAATCAGACACCTGCTGAGTTACTTGGGCTGGTCTAACAAAAAGGCTAACAGTTCCCCCATAAACCCCCAGTGTGGTTGCTTTGTGGGAACATCTGCAAAATGGTCCCAGTCAAGTTACCTATGTGTCCAGAAGCCCATAGTACCTGGTCTATAGCCAAACCTGCTGTAGTTATCAGCCCTTGGCAGCCGCAAACCAGGTGGGACTGGTCTTACTTAATAGACTTGGAGAATTCAATTTTAATTTGAGGATCAATTCCTATCAAGTAGGACAGGCTGTAAGTGAAGGGAAATGTTCTCTGTGGTGTATTCACTGTCAGTTCTTTACTGTTTTCCCAGTACATCTTATCCCTGAAGGAGCTTTTGTAAAGAAAAAGATTTCAAAAACCTGTATCCTGTTTGCCTTCCAGTGAATTTCTGTTTTTGGAAAATCCACCTGTGTTTGCAGTCCTCATAGACCTCTGTCCCCCTAGGGTGTTGTACTTTTAATCAGGCTATTTCTATCTCTTAACTGTGAGGAATTTTCTCTGCATTAGCCCAGAATTACAGTCAGAGACTGGGACAGAATTTCAGAGTAGGTTAGAGTTTGGGACAAGCTGAGCTGGGTCAACCATGGAGACAGAGTGAGATAATCTGGGCAGATGCTTATATTTGTACAGCTTTTAAATGAATGACCACCAGAGGCTTTATTTGCACTGTGGATTAAATGCTAAATGCGTTTTGGAGCAGCAGACACTTAGAGGGAGAGTTGTTGAACAGTAGAGCATGCACCATCTCTCCTCCTCTTTCCTGTTTCTCTCTCTTGCTCACTGTCTACTGCTGTCTTTTCTTGCTCACAGTGATTTGTCAGCAGTGGAGGTAGCAGCTGTTCCTTTTGCACTGTAATTTCTTTGATCATAATTATTCGTGCCAGCTACCTCCAACCTTGGCATCCTCCACCCCACAAAGCCATATGGACAAAAAGTGAGCAAGCCTGAGGAAAAACATGGGCTTCTTTGGAATAACTTCTATGATTTGTGCGTATAGTGGTGTGGGAATTATGGACATAGGTGCTTCACAGCTTCGCTCTGCATCACTGTGTACTATTATTCTCATTCATACATTCGCTGAGGTCCAGTCTCTGCT